AATGTCAGCGTAGTTCAAAATATCTGAAAAACTGTTTTCAGCTCTCGAAATCTTCAACAATTTGTTCAAATTTGAATCACAATTCAATAAAACACTATAGTCGTTTGTGGAATTTGGCAGATGCCAAATCTAGTAAAACGAATTTCGCGAATAGGGCAGACATAAAGCAAAAAGTTATAATTAACCAGTGTCTCTCGGCAAATGGTTCGATAGAACTGCTCTTCAAACAATTTCAAGAAACCGATAGAAATGACGTCACTTCAAAGCAATATTATCCAACAGTACGACGGTGAGCCACAAGCTTCAATGAAATAGTAGAAAATATTAACGTTATGGATTCTATTGAGTTACGTAAATCAACAATGCTTTGAGACTGAACCGCTACGAAGAGTACCTAATATGCCAAACGATGAGATACAGGAACTAAATTTATATACAAATAAGTCTATTATAATCAATATACACCAAAACAGATGTAAATATGTATCTGATCGGCCATTTTGAAGTACCTGATATCTACTTACAAAATGTTGTTATTACATATGTTTTAAAGGAAATGAAAAAAAATAATTATCAATCATCTCTCTAGTAATTATACTGAATCTTTCATTAACAGTTCCACTATCAATGAAAAATTAGAAAACGTTTAATATTAGTTTAAAGCATCAATTAAATCGACAATCGACATAATTTTGTTTATCTTTGATGAAACTCGAAGTAAAATGCATTTGAAATAAATTCTACCTTTCGTAGTATAGCAAATTTCCGCTAAGAATATGATGGTTATTCTGCTTAGAATATTTGTGTTCGGCCCATCGACTATGACACCAGTAAGCTATTGTGAGACAGACTTGATGCGCGCGCAACTAAATTATGACGGATTACGTTATGATACTTTACGGATTCTATACATAACGGTTATGATGGAATACGGATTCTGTACAATGCGGTTTCTACGCTTTAGCGAAATGATACATAGAGTTTATGATACAATGTGGATATGATGCATTGCGATTATGATCGGTTGACGTTTCTATAAGTACGTTATGATTTTGTACTTTATGACAAAGTACGTTCTGATGTTTTACGTTATGATGAATTGCGATTATGACGGCTTACGATTTTGATCTTGTAGCGTTATGATGCATTACGATTTCTCTCCTTTGATGTTATGATGGAGTACATAATGATGAATTGCATGGACCCGATCAAAACGTCTAATATTTTCCAACCTGTTGAAGAGTACAGTGTGGGTCGGTCTACTACTTGTCTTAAACAATACGAATCTAGAATGTGATCCAGTTAAACACACTGACTATTAATAGGATCTGAATAATCCACATTTAGATCCGTCTGGCTGTATACAGTTCCAAACCACAAAGGCCTTCAAACCCGAACGAAGACCGTAACACTGAAAATCTTGGCCGCGAAAGCCTTAGTAGCGCCTGTGTGTGATAAACGGCCGTCAAGCTCAGATCGTGCATCATTCCGCATCCTAGCCATCCTGTCCATATATTCAATAACACATGGAGCAGTCGTGAAATTGGAATTCAATAGTAAATCTTCAATCATCCGATGCTGCAAAGCAGCAAACACGAAAAGTGAAAGTTTAATTAGTTATTCATCAATCAAAGAAAAGCTGGAACATGGACTTTCGTGGCATACCACCCATGGTCATGTCCGGTAACCTTGCCGAAAAGTGGAGGTTCTGGAAGCAGAGGTTTTTAACATATTTGAAAGCAACTGAAATCGCTAAGAAGGAAGAAGCGACGAAATGTGCTCAACTCCTGACGTTGATAGGAGAAGAAGGTATGAGAATTTACTGCACTGCAGATGAGAAAGATACCTTAGACGCATTATTGAAGAAGTTTGACCAGCATTTCATTCCTAAAAGCACCCTGACGTACGAAAGACATAAGTTTTTGAGATATAAACAAAAAGAAGGGCAAACCCTCGAACAATTTATAACAGATATCAAGCATTTATCACATAATTGTGAGCTAGGTGACCATAGAGACAGTTGACTTGACAGTTGGCACTTAGGCATTTTGTATCGTACTTATTACAGCCTGCTTTAATTCTATGAAATTATTTAAAATTGATCTCGTGTTTATGTGACAAATCGTTATGTTCTGCATATTTCATCAATCTTTGGTCCTACTCCCGAGCCCAAAAAATATTCAATAAAAAAACAACAATTCGAATCAATGAAAATTTTAAGGCACAACTATTACTGAAATATTACAAAAAAATTGAAAAACAGCACGACGCGGATTATCCCTCGGGGTTTCCTTGGAAGCTGTTTTTTCCAAAGAAGTGAGTTCATCTAAGATTGAAGAATCTTGCTGTAGCTCTTCCAAGCAGTATCTTTTATCATTCAGTACCAATTCATTATATTTCATGGTTGCTTTGATTCCATTCTGTTTCACTTTATTTAGATACTGAGGCAAATATTTATTCACCTTCTGGTCACCAACATTCAAGTCGTCCACTGCACAGGGCAAGGGCTTTAAATTCTGATCACGTTGCGATAGAAAATATTATGGACTTGGTCCATACTTGAAGACTTAGTGAAAGTGGTATATTATGAAACTACTCCTATAGTTACCCAGTGGATGCTCTTAATTTAGCAAATGCTAGATATCTCGCATTATAATGCGATATAATCTTATAATTTCGCATGTTTGTTGAATTAACAACATCGCATCATTTGTAAATGTCATATATGAAAGAATTTTTGTGACGAAATTGACAATAATATGTCATTTTACGGCACAAGTGTTAGAAAGTGATGGAATATTATTAATGATATTGACAATCATAATTGTTTCTTAAACTGAACCCCAATAATCAATAATAGCGTGCGCTGTTGCAACTGTCTAAAGAGATTATTGAATAGCAAAACATGTTTTGTGTTAACATAGTTTATTATCGTTTAACTTTGAATATATTTTAATATAAGATCGGGAACAATCATAATAATTTTGTATATACATCCGTATATATTCGAAATAATTTACCAATATTAATTTTAAAATGAAATTACAAAACCCATAATAATTCCAGGCAGATTTTAAATTGAATAGTTTATAAATTATGTCCAGAGTTCACATTTTTTTTCATTTTGAATACCAGTATTTCTTTCCATGTAATCAACATTTCATTGGTAATTTTATCGAAATAGTCTTCGTCTCAAGGTAGTCTTGTATGGATTCTTCTCCCCTAAAAGTAAAAAACAAAACAATTGTATCGATTTTCAAATCAATGTACCAAATTTCTGTTACAAATCAATTTTATAATTTGTGTCGAATAAGAATGATTGAAAAATCGCTATACTTACAAATCTCTTCCAATGCCAGATTGTTTGTATCCACCGAAAGGAGTTTGAGGGGCAGAACCAAAACAGTTTACCCTTAAAAAAATATTAAAATACTTCAATACATAACAAAACAAAAAGGCAGACAAGAGGATTTTTATTTACGTAGAAACATGAATTTATGTATTTCACAAAATACTTGATTAAAAAAATAATTGATGAGACGTTTGTTTGAAGGTGATTGACAATGTTTCATGATGAATTTCACTAGTTCGGACTTCCATTGTCTAATATATAAAATGATTTGAAATCCCTGAAATCCCTGCATTAAGATAGTTGCATCGCGTTTTTGTGGGCGCGGCTTGTAATGTGCTTTTCTTGTGTATTGTCAACCCACAACAGTGGGGACAGTATTCTGTAAACCAATGATATAGACCGAACAGTGATCTCTTGTAACCAAAACTCGTCCAAGCTACTGAATGAAGTTATTTGAAATATATGCAAAAGAATGGGAACATAATTAAAATCATTAAAAAATATTGGCTTAACAACCTGCCGAAATGACATCGTAATAATTTCTCGACTGCAATTAAATCAAATCCGATAAGTTTCAAATAATTTGAATTTACCTCTAAAAATTATATTTAACACAAATATAGGTCACAGAAACTTGACTCCTCAATATCAAAGTTCCGCCAGGTGAGTGTCTCCTCTCTAAGTTATTCTGTGCATAGAATGTTTGTTCCACTATCGGTGAGTGAAAAATTTTGAAAGTAACACTTGATCACAACTTTTGTTTTTCATGATTTGTCATTAGAACATTAGTTCATTTAAAAGAGACTCATCCATGCCTGTTAGAATGAACCCAGTGACTTCGGAAGCACAGTTCGATAAATCATAAGTTGAAACAAATGCTTATCCAGGAGAAAGTCCGAAAACAGGTTTGGAGAACTTTTGATTTAACAGATCAAATTGTCAAACCACAAGTATAATGCTGAAAGAACCAGTTGCTTTACCTTTTGTCGGAAACTTTGATGTTTCTGTTTGACAATTTTACTTTTTTAGGGACTATTGCGCATCCATAAAATTACCTGCCACGAGTGGATTTGTCAGTGTTTCCAAACACTGCTCAACAAGTAAATAATAGATATAAACGGTTCGACAGTAAAACTAATTTCATCCGAACAAAGTTCGGAAAGCGTGTCGGAGAGTTTCAAAAGAATTTAAAAAAATTGATTTGGTGCACAAATATGTACAGCTGTTATATGTGACAGCTTGTAAACGATTTGTTAAATATGAGGCAATGAGCGATAAAGCTACACCTCTTATTCCATAGAACTGCAGCTTATCCAGAAGAATAGAGTGAGAGATGCAATCAAACGCCTTAGATAGGTCGCAGAGTGTGATGGCGGTTATCTTGCCCTCCTCAAGGGTGTAGGCACATTTTTTGTTTGGTTAATGACATCCAGAAAATGTGATACAAATAAGAACAAAACAATTTACTTGAATTATTCATTGAGCCCGGTATGAAAATATATTATTTGTATCTGCTACAAATACACCTCTTGATTACATTTAAAAATATAAGTACAAAATATTAAATTTCCATATACAATATATGGACTTTAGTGAAAAACTTGTATGTGACATAATATTGCATACAGAAAATAACATGGTAAAGAATAATCAACAATTGAATCAATTAAATCATCTAAAGGAACAATTCGTTCAGGCCAGTCTCAACTCCCTACATTGTAGGTTAATGTACTGACACTTATCAGGAAACAACTACTTCCCTGGCTAATACCATGAAGGGCGTTGGATTATATCCGACAGGTGTCAGTGCATCATTGACTTTATGCTGATGATAGACACTACCTTGCAAACAGCCCGAAATCGGTCTGCAAGTGTGTTCCAATAATTGAAAATGTATTGCGGCAGTTGTATCGCCAACAGCATATGCTGGAATAACTTCAGTGAAGAATCCTGCACTAACACCTGTCGGATATAATCCAACAACCAGTCCAATAGCCAGTCTTCAAGTATGCGCACTGACTATATATGAAATGAATTAATGCTTATATTACAATTATAATACTCTATAAATATTGAGGTAATGAATACGAAAGAAGAAAATTATATTTATAAATGTTGTAAATTCAGTATTTTTCCAATTGTTTTCTAGCATTCCAACTGTGGGTTTATAAACTTGATGAAAACAAAATCCGATCTCTCACAAACAACGATAATAAATAAAATCCATTGAAATATCCTTACAAGGATGAAAAAAAGAGATTGTTGAACATTGCTCTTTTATAATTTTTCCAACATTTTGCAGGACTGAAATGATTCCCTAACGAGTCAATTAACTCAACAAAAGAAGTGTGGGGACACTGTAAATTTCCAAATACCTATATCCTGGTAAGTTTTTGGATTTGCTCTGAAATGTGAATAGATATATTCCATATTGAGAGTATGGTTTTTTTCCAAATTCTTAACATATATATTGGAATATTTCTGGCGAAGTGGTAATATTAGCCACAACAAAATTTTTCTTTATAATGATTCCACTAGCGAAACGTCGTCAGTCTGCTATGCCAAAAGCAGTAAATTGACCTTATTAAGTGATGCGACCCTACGGTTGCCAACTGTGGTAGAATAATGACATTTGACAAATTGACATTTGCTATTAAATAAATAACCTATCTTTCTGAGTTCCTTCTGCATTTTCCTTCACAGAAAGATGCAAGAAAAAAACATCAAATTCTTTGTCCAAGGTCTCTTCGGCAAACTAAAATTGAACAATGGCACTTTAATCATTTAAAAATAAACAAACACACTTGACTTACCTTGATTTCATTTTTTGCATTTTGAAGAATAATTGATTTGGGGAAACAAATGAGTAAATATACGAAAACAGCAAAAATAAGCACATCTACAATGCTACAAGGACAAAATACAAGAACAAAAATGAAAATGCAGAAGAAACTCAAAAAGATAGGTTATTTATTTATTAGCAAATGTCAAATGTCATTATTTTACCGCAGTTGGCAACCACGGGGTCGCATTACTTAATAAGGTCAATTACATAAAAAATTTCAGACATGAAAACGTTGCCGATTATCGAGGAAATTCACGACGCATCCGAAAACTACTTGCTACGATTTGATCATGCGCGATGTGATTTATTACCAAAAAGTGGAGATACTCGGAGAACTGGTTTTAGCTATACTGTGTTGAGTGATTCACTAAAAACCGAAGATGTAAAAATTTTTATGATTTAATATTTTTGTTTGTATCACTAGTTATCAGAATGAATTATTACTCATCTTCTTTGATGAATATATGTTTTTTTAAAGCATATATTTATCAAACTCTCACAACAACGATATAATGTTCTAGTTAGCGTAAAATGTTCTCGGTAGCGTAAATTCATCTTCTATAGAAACGTCATCGCCATATGAAATTTTGATAAATACTCGTATGTACAATCAAGTTTTCCATCACTTTCTCATGAAAACCATACCCTTTATACCTTTCATTAAGCAAAACCTGATACTCGCTGAACGTCAAAAACTATAAACTGTGAGGAATTCATCTGTAATATTGAGATTAATTTGATAGGTTGTTATTCTAAACTGATTTAACGTTTGCATTTTTCAAAAAATATATTTTTATCGTTTGGAAACTATATAAGTTCTAAATAAATGTACAGATTTTCAAGACTGAAAATAATTATCCAAAGCTTTTTGTAATGAAGTTTTACTCGACCCACTTACATATCCCCGTTTAGAGCGTTGAGTTTTGTAATCGATTTTAGGTCAAAACTTGTAACCCGTACAAACAAACTTGACGTGTTTTCAGATGTTTGCGATGAGTTCTTTGGTAAAAAAGCCTATTGGTTTTATACTTCTCCAACCATATACAAGAAATATCGGAAACTTCCAAAAAATTAATCTCTCTTGAAAAATATTTCCCTCAATTTCTTTTTCTGGCAGTACTGCCTTCTTTTCAAAAAGTTGGGAAAAACTATTTTGTATCTATTCAAATTCGAGAACAATTGTCAAGGTCACATAATCCACCAACTTTCGAATAAAACCAAGGAATACCTATTAATAGTGTATCACAAATCACTCTCAGAAGAAAATTATTTTCCTTTACTTACCAGACAGAACCAGCTTCGACTGACTGAGCAAAAACTAAAGCTGTATTAATATCTTTAGTTATTATCCCAGCTGCGAGTCCATAATAAGTATCATTTGCTCTTTCAATAACTTCTTCTAAAGTTTCAAATTTCAGAATTGATTGCACCGGCCCAAATATCTGTGAAATTATAGTATTAGAAGTTTTACTACAGTCTGTTAAATATTCTTTTTTTTCAGTACATTCTTGTTGTTTCAATTGTATAGTCTCAGTAGAGCTGATTTTATCCAATTATAGGCAGTTCTCTTTGTATGACTATAATAAACTTAAATATAAGTTACAAAGTTATTATAGTCTTCACCTTCAACAACACTTGCTAGAGAAAATTTTTAGTTTTTTGATAAACTATTAGTAACCAAGCGGTTTTGGGACGTTGTTACTAAGAGAAATTAATGTAACTTGGTTTGAACTCAATCAGTGTTAACTATTCCAGATCTTTTCAGAAATTCAACATGATGGAGGTTTATTTCATGAATTAACGTACCTCTTCTCTTGCAATTGTCATATCATCAGTCACACTAGAGAATATTGTAGGNAAAGAAAAACATTTTTCATTTTGTAACTTCGAGGGCCCGTTACTTGGTAACGAAGGATTTTAGGAAAAAAAGTTATATGAAGTACTGGTGATATTTTGACCCCATCTATACATTCCCGAGAGGAAAAGAGGAAGTCCAGGGACACCCTGTATAATGCTTTTTACATCATAAACACACCTGAAAGAAAATCCTATCCAAAACAAGTATTTCTCATATGGACATTGAATTAAACACAAATTTACATTTTTTTTAATTTGTACACCAAACAGTCATATGGAGATTGAAAAAACATGCCATTCATACTATAAAAGATGCATAGAAATTCTGGTGTTTTTACCGATTCGCTTTCGTTCAAAATGTTTCGACGCGAGAAATGGAGTTGACCCAACTTTGTACACATGTTGATAGATGGAACAGGAATCTTTTCCAAATGTTAACATTGATGTGCGCTTCGCGCCTCTGAATGGAATGCCGAAGTAAGTTGGATCTCTATTTTATGAAGAATCAAGAGGCAGTAGATCGAGTGTTTCTTTGAAATGGTTTACACAGGGACAGCTCCAAGTGTTTACACCATGGTATTTCTATTCATTTTGATACTACATATGTGATGTGTACAAATTTAATATTCATGCCATTTGTTGAAGTTGAATGCACTATACTTACTTGTGGTCCCTGTTCTGTTTCAGGTTTGAAGGGATCACCCACTTTTTTAGCCTTCGCCTTTTCGATGGACTTCCTTAGGAATTCTTCATATATACCAGACTGAACGAAGGTCCTGGAGCCTGCACAGCATGTTTGTCCATGATTTACATATGCCGCGATATGAGCCAGTTCAACCGCTTCATTAACTGAAAAGATATTACAAGTATTATTAATTAAGTTATGGTTTATGCATCCGATAAACTGACAAATTATTTATTTTGTTTTCAAAACAGAACAGTTGTCATTGTCATAAATGGGTTATTTTGAATTTTATACCGATTCAATTTTTTTCGCATATTTGAAAGTTAATATGTTTCGTCAAATCTCACCATCGGCATCATTGAATATAACAAATGGACTTTTGCCACCTAGTTCTAGTGATACCTTCTTCAAATTAGACTTGGCAGCATACTCCATAATGCGGTGTCCAACCTGAAGAAAAAAAATCTTATCAGTCTAAAATCTAATAAACCGTATACTTTCAATTGAAATTCGAACCAAAATAATGAATAGGTAGGTACTGACGATGTCTAATAGAGAAAAAAATATATTTCCATATTCCCTAAAAACAAAAATTCATAGATTTTTTTTTCCTGCATATTTTCATTTTATAGATTCACTGTTGAAGTGCAAAATGCTAATGACTCTATCAATAGTTATTTATTAAACAAGGGAAAAAAGTACTAGATTTTAGCTCGAGGTTGTGTTGTCTCCCGACGAGAAGCTTGGGAGATTTCCAGTAATCACGGATGTAATGATTCTTCCCATTATTGGACAAACGGAATGAGGAATTTGAAGTCAAATTTCTTGAAATTGAATCAGAAATGCTCATGGTGGTTTTTTCGAATTTGTGAAAGAAATATAATTCCAGAACTTTTTCCTTTGCATCTTCTGAGACAATTGGGCAATACTCAATCTGCTGACTCCATTTTGCGTTGTTCATAGGAAATTTTGATTTGATTTGTGGGTTCAGGAATATTTCATCTAATTTTTGAGTAGACGGAAGAGTACCTACCCAATATCGATGTGGCATTACCCGTTTGAATGGCGATACTGATTCTTTGAATTAAAAATGAATAGGCTCGGTTGTTATTGGTAGAATTCATCATTCTTCTACCAATTTCTTTCAACAATTCATAAGCATGAGATCCAAAAACACCAAAGGTTTCAATAACAACAGGAAAGAAACAGTAAGAATCTAGTAAAGTGAAGTATTTCAAGTATGCATTCATCAATAGCTTTGCTCAATGCTTCTGCAGCACACATTCTTGCTCCTTTGGGAATTCTCTTCAATATGTGAGAATGGAGTTTGTATAGAGAAAGTCTATCATTGATAGCTTTGGTAGAAATTGCACCAGATTTGGATTCAACATTCGGACTCATTGTACAGGTTTGGATGGAAGAGGAAAATGTTGTTGACTCAGATTTATGAATTTTTGAAAAGTGGATTCTCAAACCTTTTGTAGTTTTGAATTTCATATTGCAATATTGACAAAACGAATATTTTGTACTTGCATCGTGTTCAGTTGTAGAAGATAGTTCCTCTGTGATCTGCGCATCATGACTGATGATAAAGTATACTTTTCATCTCTTAGAATTCTATCCTGAAAATGTTTCTCTACAGCAGGCCTTGTTGTTTCAGGTGTAGTACATTGCATTTTCATTACTCCTCCGTCTTCTATCCAGTGTTCAATACATTTCTTCGATGGTTTTGACAGCATTCGTGAATCTCTCACGAAAAATGTGTGCTGTTTGGTGATGGGGATTTGCATTTTCGACTATCAATAGAAAAATGGAGAAACAGGGACTCACGAATCAGAGAAGAATTGGTTTATAACGGAGTGCAAAAAAAACTTGACATGACAATTTAATTCTGTGATTTGATTTAAAAATTGCAAACTTAGTGGTCAGTAGTTATTTTGAAAAATGTCTAATTCCCATTTTTCTCTGACTTCACCGGAGTTAGTAGAAGCAGCGAAAGTAGCGTCACAAAAATTATTGCCAGCTAAATCGCGGAAAATTTATGAAACCGCGTATTCAAGATTCATGGAATGGAAGATGAAAAAGACATGCAGCTCTTTCTGGGAGACGGTGTTATTGGCTTATTTTTCGGAACTGGCACAATAACAAAAGCCATCAACAGTGTGGTCGAATTATTCAATGATTAAAAGTATGTTACAATCCAATAATAATGTAGACATTTCAAAATATTTCAAACTAATTACATTTCTGGAACAAAATGAGAAAGGTTACTCGCCCAAGAAAGCTGCGATATTTACGAGTACACATATTAGTGACTTTTTAAGTAATGTTTCCGAAGAAGTTTATTTAATGGCTAAAGTTGTTGTTATAGGTAGGTATTTGGGATTGCAGGAGTTTGTCGAATTTGTGAAATCAGCCAGGTAACATTAGATGATATTGAAGATTCGGGAACGTTATTAATTGTGAAACTCAAGCAAACAAAAAATGATGTAAACAGGAGATTTGTAGTTACTGAAGAATATATTAAATTTTACCGAATGTACATAGCCCTTCGTCCA